GATCATAACATCCAGTTGCGAGAAGACAGATAAACACGTCACACCCATAGCACACCCACACGTGTAACGTCAATAATTACACACACGAACAAGGAGCTAAGTCAGTATAAATGGGCAGAAAACGATGAGGTGCTATCTTAGGTAGGTATAAAGACTGCTTTGTTAAGATCACCAGTGATCTTTCATCAAAACCAATAGCCGATTCTCAGTTGTCGTTTTACTCAACCCACCAGCATTGTTGACACAACCTCAGAGACACACCTTTCTCCCCCAGAAGCTGCCCCTTTCAGTCAGCTTTGCTGGTCCCTGCTCTTCTCCCTACCCTCTAACTGAAGTCAAGTACTACTACTAAGATGCCATGACTCCCAGCATTACACATCACCAGGCTGGCTCTCTCCTCTCGAGTCCGGACTCACATATCCAACTATGTACATGCCATCTCCACTTTATGCATGATATCCATCTCAAAGTTAACATGTCTAAAACTAGTTTTAGGTCTTCTCCACAGGATATGCTCTCCATTTCCAAAGTTCCTTTTCTTAGGAAGTGGTAACTCCATCTTCCATTGCTCAGACCTAAAACCTTGGAGTTTTTGGTTTCTCTTTTTTATTTTCCCACAGTTTCTATCCAAACCATGGGCAAATCTGTTAGTTCTACTTTTAAAATATATTTGGAATCAGATACTTCTCACCACTTCTTTCTAAACGCTGTAATCCAAACCACTTTACCTCTAGCCTGGATTATGACACTAGTCTCTTATGTGGTCTTCCCATTTCTACCCCTGTTCCCTTCCCACCACTACAGCCAGAGTCAGTTCTTACAGAGTGACCATTTTCTTTAAGCTTAAATCATATCATATCACTTTCCTAATAAAATACCTCTCATTTCAGCAGAACAACATTCAGAATCTTTTCTATGGTCTACAGGGCCCTGTATGATCTGACCTTACTTCATCTCTCTGACCTCATCTTGTACCACTCTTTCTAGTTCACTGTACTCCAGCTATACTGGTCTCCTTTGACAATTAGAAATGTCAAACAGACTCTTACTTCAGGGCCTTTGCACATGCTGTTCCTTTAACCTGAAACTCTCTGTTTCTAGATAGCTGCATAGATATTGCCCTCACTTCATTCAAATCTCTGTTGAAATATCACCTTCTCAGAGAGGTCTCCCCTAACCCATCTGTGTACGACAACGAGTAGCCTCCCTTTGCCCCTCGCTCCTTCCAGTGCCCTTACCACTGAACTTTATTTTTATGCTTATCACTCAGTCCACCTGACACATCATGTGTATGTGAGCAATTGCTTTTGATCGTTCCTTTTTAACATCTGTCTCTCCTCTCTAGAATGTAAGGTTTATGAGGGGAGAGACTTTGTTTTTTTCATGCTATATTCCCAGTATATGTATATGTGTAGGTGTTCAATAAATGTCTGTTGAATACACGCTTTCCAATAACCATGAATACTAGCAAAACAAAACCTCACTAGTTATAAGTAAATGGAAAGATGGCTAGTCTGAGTGAAAGATTCTTTTCTAATTGAAGAACAAATACTTGCGAACTCATGGATTTTCAATCAATAATGGGCAAAACTTACTTCCAGTAAAGTTAAATTTCTGCTAGCTTTGATGAGAGAAACTCATTTCTAATTACTGTATTGATTCTGTATACGCAAATGTGCTTTTAAAGGACTTGACAAACTTTCTCCTAAATTGCTTGGCCAGGTCTGCTACAATTTGGTAGTCCTTTTAGTTTGATTACTAAGCCTTTTGCTATTGTTGTTGAAGTTGACTCAAAGGACTTCAAATGTAAATTTCAGCTCATTTCAGATCAGATATTCTGAAATTCTGAGTTCAGAGAAGCCAAAATACATAAAATTTTACAGCATGAATATTTCTTGGATGTTCAATAGCACATAGATAGCTATGTTAAATGTAAACATTTATGACTTGGCACCATTAATCTATTCACAATTTTAAAATTAATAATAAAATTAGAATATAGGAGAAAGGGCTAAGATTTCTCTCCTGCGTGTGTATATATATGTATAAGTATATGTTATTATTAATATGCATGTTAGTAATATTGAAATGTCCCTGAGAGCAGGGACTGTGGTACTTGGCCTAGTAATGGATGCCAATACATTTTTAAATTTTAAATTTAAATTTTAAAATGCACTCAGCAAAATCTGTTGAGCACCTACTCTGTGACCAGAACTGTGATATGAGATGAAGATACAAATACAAATAAAACAATACAAATATATGTTTATTAAGTTGAAATGAATAATGATCACACATAGTCTTGCCAAATTTTTTGTAAAACATATCCTCTCCATATTAGACAGAGTATACAATTACATGAGGTATAGTTTGGTCCCTGATGGAAAAAAATTAAATTTATTTCTGAATACATTTGGTATAACAATTTTTCATGTTCTTTGAGAAATAACTTTTCTAAATGAGTAAAATTGCCTCCTGAAAAAAACAAGACTCAATAACATTTCAAGAGCAATCCAAAAAGATAAACAACAAAAAGCTGCCTTGGAATGCATGCCTCCGGAGAGCCAAACCCAGACGCTCTTATTCAACTCTTAATGTCAAAATGATAGTCAATTCATCCAGGAACCAAAGGAAGGCCAAAATTTTAAAAGAGGTTCTTCTCAAAACAGGATATAAAATACAATATCTTCATTTTTTTTCTTAAAAAAAAAGCCTCTGGATATAGCAGAGCACCAATAGCAAGCTAAAATATCGTTCATGTACTATGATTTGCACCAATGGAGGTGAGCTGTGACTTGGAACGTCTGAATGCATAGATAATTCCAAATCCTCAATATTTTCTCTTTCTTTCCACATATTTATTTTCCTAATTAGTTTTGGTGAAATGAATAGTAAAATTAGTTTGCTTTCTCCAATAGCGAGAAGAAGTAGCACCTTAAACCTAAATGTTTGCAAAGATAATATATGTACAATTCTTGTAAGACAAGACTTTGAGATCCTTGAATGAAGGGACTAGATCTCTGAATCCTTTACTCTATACATTATGCACCATTTAGCACAGTACCTTGCACAGGTGTTCAAAACACAACTGGTAAATGAATAATTCATTTACCAAAAGACCAAAATTTGATGCTCATGTATTAAAAGAAATATTTTTAATCTTCTGGAAGTTCTGTTATATAACAGATATACAGTAATTCTGGATTTTACTTTTTGAACGAATATAATAAATAACTTCTGTGTATTAATTTGGTAATACTAACTACCCTAGCAAACATATCCCCAAATTTCAATGCAGCAACACAATAAAAGTTGATTTCTTCTTTGTGTAAAGTCTAATGCAGATTTTCCTAGTAGGTAGGCAGCATTCATCTATGTGGTAATTCAGACACTCAGCTCTTTCCATTTGGGGTTATGCCTTTCCCTGGGTCCTAGAAACCTCTGCATTCAGCTAAAGGCTAGGCGCCCATGGGCTGGTGAACGTACATTTGATGCTTAACTGCCTTGGCTCGAATGTGATGAAACACTTAAGCCCATTGACCAGAACTAGTCACAAGGACCTACTTAGATGCAAGCAGGGGCAGGCCAGGCAACGGAATTCCTTCCTGGGCAGATGCTTCCCAGAGAGAAGTATACTAAGAAAGGAGAAATACATTTTTTTAGTACAGCAAGTTGTTTCTTGCCAAGATTTTTTTGTCTTTTCTCTTTTCGTGTTCTTCAGAAGCAGAGGATATTGTTAATGTCAGCATTCAGGAATTGCAGTAACTTCTTGAAAATGTAAATTCCAGGTGTAAGGTAATCTTATGGAAGTGGTAATATAATCAAGGACTACGTGGGCAGTCTAACAGGATAAAAAAAAACGGCAGTAGCAGATAGCAGGACATCTGAAAAAATCTCAATAAGAAAGATGATTTGGCTATTGCAGTACGCCAGGTATGTGGACTTGGTTAGTCCCAGGGTTGAATTTTGTTTAAGATGTGCCTGTGCTGCAATTGTATGGAACCACACGCATGCCTAACAGGTACCTGGTGATAATTAGATGACTTGTAAAGTGATTATGATTCATGACTTTTTTCCCACACATACCTCAGCTAGGAGGTGCCCTAGACTTGTAGCGGACTGAAGGGTGTGCCTCAAAGGTGTGCCTTTATTTCCTATCTGTATCATAAAACTTTTCTATGGTGCTGACATTTTAAGCCTTCTGATCTTGGTTCAAAGATGTTTTTCCTAAACCTGAAAAGTGAGTCCAAATAACGGTGGGAACTGCATCTCTGTTTGCGACATGTGGGAGAGAACATTGTGGCCTTGGAAGTGAGCATCCCTGAACAGGGTTTCCTCTCTTGCCTCAAGCAGGCTCTCTTCTTCACCCACAGGTCTTGGCATCCTTGCCTCCCTCTGTGCCATCTGGCCAGGGACCAACTTCCCAAATCTGCCTTAGCAACTAGCCCTGCTGTGCTCAGGAGGCTGTTTTCAACAAGCTCTTCTTGAGCTCAAATTTTACGACAGTTCTACTGGACTCTAGGCTTTATTCAGGGCAAGGACCATTTAAAAATACGACCCCCGGCTCCCGGACAAATTATCTACCATAGTGTCTGGCATATAAAAGGAGCACAATCCATATTTATTAAACGTACTGTCTGCCTAATTACCACACACTATCCTGGGGTTGCAAGCTGGGCAGCAAAATCTTGGAGCCAGAGGCACACACCCCGCATGGTCTCCTTTTGCTAGGAGCCCTCCACAGAGGCTCACCTGCCTTCCAGTGTGAACTCCTATTCTTTGCAGGCCACACTGTTCAAGCCACACTCCAGCGCCATCAGTTAATTCCTAAACCTTATTTCCAAGTGTTAATTTTAATCTAATCCCTGTCCCCAAAACACTTCTGGCTCCATCTCCTAGCTCCCTAAGTCTTTCATTAGGCCTTTTACTGGGCTCATGGTCCAATCCAGAAAACAGGAAAAACCTGATACTGAAGGAATTTGGAAATAAAACAGGAAGGATGAAGGGTGAGAAATTTATTCAGCTCTCTCCATTATTCCCAAAGAGGCTCCAACCTCCTGGCTCGTCCTTGGCGTTGCGGTTAGTCTGCGAGGGTCTGTGCGGAGGTGACCTTCTGGCAGAGGGGGAGACCTGCTCCTCATTCCGTGGCGCGGCAGGCAGGTCAGAGAGGAGATCTGGGCTACTGTCACTCTGTGGCCTCCCGCATCCCGCATTCTTTCCTTTGGTCTCCTTCCAACGCGAGTGCCGATCCACCGTGGGCTTCGAGGCCCTGCAGGCATCGGGAGCACCAAGTGGGTGTCGGGTGATTGGAAGCAGTGGGGAAGGGAGATGTGGTGTCACCAGTCCCGACCAGTGGCTGCGTGAGCGCGTGTGAACAGGGAAAAGGCGCCCCTCTCCGGCGTTTCTCCCGCCCTCTCATTTCTCCCTGGAGACCGGCAGGGCTGCCCCGGGTGACTCAGAGCTGCCCGGGGTGGCTTGGATGCCTGTCCCCATCCTCCTTGGAGAGCCTGCTTCCACGTCCCCTAGCGCCCCGCACACCCGCCACGTCCCCGGCCCTCGGCGCTCGAGGGCGGCCCCCTCCTCGGAAGGTGTGGGTGCATGGGTGGGAAACATTAATAACCACCACACCGCCCACAAAAAAGCCCCAACAGCAAAAACCACCGTACACTCATCACAGGCAGAGCCCGTCTCCCCAAGGTAAGCTGTTTATTCGTCGCCGATTTGGCGATGCCCCCAGGACAGCTGCGGCAGCGACAGCCGCGGTGCGGCGGCCCGAGCCCCTCGCGCTCTTCCTTCCCCCGCCCTCCCTCGGCCGCTCGCCCCACCCCTTCCCTTCTCCCCGCCTCCTCCCTTCGTGCCCTCTCGCGGGCCACGCACACACCCGGGACACCCTTGGCACCGGGCTACTCACACTGCGGCTGAGCCGGGCTGGCCTGGCACGGCTGCCAGCGCGGCCGGGGTGTGTGCGCGGGGCAGGGGCGGAAGCCCAGTGGGTTGGGGTGGAGCCCCTCTCCTCCCAGCGCGACCCCCCGCCCATTCTCCTTCCCTAATCCCAGCCTTGCAGCCACACTGACACCTGAGCGGGGACCGGGCGGGGGAGGAGCAAGCCCGCCCGACTGGCCGCGGAGAAAACAGATCGCGGGGCGGGGACGGCGCGGCAGGGGGCGGGGCGAGCGGGGAGGCCGTGAGTGACGCGCGCGCCAGCCAACGAGCGCCCGCAGCTCCGACGTCGGGGCGGGAGCGGGTGGGCTCCGCGGGGAGGAGGCGGCGGCCGGGGCGCGGGAGGCGGGGGCCGGCAGGAGGAAGGGGCGGAGGCGGCGGCGGAGGCGGGCGCGGTGGCGGCGGCGGCGGGGAGGTTGTGCCGGGACTGTCTGCCGAGCTCCGCGGCTGTGCCTGTGAGTGAAGGCGCGCGGGCGGCGGAGGGGAGCGTGGCGAGCGCGGAGCGGGACGTCTCCGGCGGCTGCGGACGGCGGCGCTCGGTGTGGGGAAGCAGCGGCGGCGGCGGCAGCGGCGGCCGCCTTTCCGCCGCCGGGGACGCCGAGGCGCGGCTGGTGGCACTGACATCGCGGCCCTGCCTCTCCTCGCTCGCCCCCGGCCCGCCCCATGTGATCGGCTTTAATCCCGGCAGTGTGCGCGCGTGGGGCTCCATTCCGCGGTGCCCGGTCTCCGCGCCAGGGTGGGTGCTCGGTTGCGCTCCTCCTCCCCATCCCCCTTCCCCCAAGAATAAAAGAAGAAGCGAGAGGCGTGCTCGGAAAATAAATAAATAACCACCACACGCGCGCAGCCCGGAGCGGAGTCGGCGGGGCTGGCGGCGGCGGCGCGCGCGGAGAAGGCAGCAACTTTCCAGCCGCTCGGCGCGGAGCTCCCGGCGAGCGGCGTGCAGCGCGGCGGCGCGGAGGGTCTGGCCCGCCGGTCCGGTCGGGGTGTGCAGTCGGACGGACGAGCAGCGCGTCGCTGTGCTCCGGCGGCTGGAGATGTCCGAGCCCAAGGCAATTGACCCCAAGTTGTCGACGACCGACAGGGTGGTGAAAGGTAAGCTGCGCGCCGCGGCGCCCGGGGGCCGTGCCGCAGCTCCCGGCGGCTCGCGCCCTTCCCCCGCCCCGGCTTCTGCTCCGGCCGCCGACCTTCTAGGATATTGTGCAACCCTGGAGCCCCTCCCACGCGCGCCCTGCCCCCACGCCACCCACCCGGCCCGCGGGGGGCATTTTTGCGGACGGGGGCGTCGCTTGGCAAATGGCTGAGCCGCGGGGAGGCGGCGGCGGGGGTGGCGGCGGCGGGAGGGGGCGCCCGGGGGTGGTTGCTGGCAGGGTGTAGCTGCTGTGACAGAAATAGGAAGTGGGTGGCTGCTGCAGGCTTGCATGGGATCGGGTTTATGGTTTTTTTTGCAGAGGGAGGGGTGATTTATGGCTTTTAAAAAATTAATGTGGCATTTTTATGTGGCCGTGGCTCTCCGCCGGCCGCCTCGCTCGGGCAGGGCCCCCTCCGCGCCCCCTCCCCCTCGCCCGCGCCCTGGAAGGGCCTGCACAGCGCTCGCGAGAGCGCGGGGGAGCGCGGGGGAGCGGGGCGGGGGAGGGGGCGACCGGGGCACCGCCCCCGCCTGGGATTCCCCCGCGGGCCCTGGCCGCGCGCCCCGGCGCCCCCGGTGCCCCCGCCGGCCCGTCAGGCGCTTGCCAGGTCCGCGTGGAGCACACCTCCCGGGGTGACCTCGCCCGCGCGCCCCCTCCCTGCTCCGGGACCCCCTTGTCCACGGGCTGGTGGATTCCTGAGGCTGGCCCTCCTCCCCTGCCCGGGGATCGCAGACCCCTGGCGGGGATGGCTCTGGGGTTTCTGGTGAAGAGAAGCCGGGATGCGTGGGGTGAGCAACGGAACAGGCAGTGTCGCGCGGTGGGCGTCCGCCGTCCTCGTTGTTTTCTGTGTGGAGTGGGGGAGGAACCGTGCTACGAATCCTGGAAGGACGAGACAGCAGAGCAGATCATCCAGGATTAAGTAGTATTCCTCATTCCTGGGTCAGGACTCCAGAGCAAAGCAGGGACGGGCTTGGGCTAGGCGCGGAGCTGGCCTCTGAAATTGGAAAGAGAGAGAGAGAGAGTGTGTGTGTTGTATGTAGAACAGAGATAGGATCTAATGTGGCCAGAGCATGCAACTAGAGCGCAAGGCAATAAAGTCATTTGCACCATGAGCACTTAGTGAAGTAACCCAGCAGCCTAAAGACTAGGATGCATAAGTTCTTCTGGGGCTTTGGAACTATTCATCGCTCCATTCAGGTTTGCTCAGTTTTTAAAGTAATACGTGTGTTCGTTCGTGGTGATGGGAGAAATTGTGTTCTCATTTTTAAGAAACAGAATAAATATCTTCTTTTGTGTTGGTTATATTAGAACCATTCCTGGTTCAGTGCAGTATTCATACACCTAAGAAAATAGGAAATACCTCTGCAAATATGACTTGAAATAGGACTACGGATGCACAGTTATTCTTTCTGCAGGCGTGGATCCTCATGTCAACAGTCAGTTCACATTCATTCAGCAGAACTATGTTTTGTATTAAGGGCTTTTTGTTGACGTTTTCAAAAATTAAGACTCTGCTGAAATAGAGACCAACAAGTCTCTCTCTAGTGTGTGCTGTTTAGGTGTAACTCCAGTCTGTATGTTACGACCACCTGTTTTCAAAACAATTAATGTAAAGCTTACAATTCAAATGATAGCAGTAAACGTGTCTGCAGTTAAATAAAAAACAGTCTTGTGCACATAAGGTCATGTTCCTTATTTTAAATCACAAGTGTGGATTCTTAATGTAAATGTAAAATTGTCATCAAGCGAAGAATGTAAAAATAATTGTTCGTACGTTCTGGCTAGGTGTCTTTACTAGTTAATGTGAAAGAGCCCATTCAACCATTCCATGGCCATTTCATCTTGCTTTCTTCCAATGCAATATTATAAATATTATTATAAATGGCTTTTCATTATAAGGGTACCTATCCACCCATAATTCCACAAATCTGGTTTGCATATTTTTGCAGAACTGATTTGCAAGTGTGGGTAATATACTCAAAATAGGAAAAATTAAGTATGTATTTGTTTTGATACGGATCTTGATGTGAAATTTTAAATGTGAAATTTTGTTTATAGAAAAAAGTTTTGTTGCTGAATCCTGATTCTAAGATGGACACACTCTTCCTATTTCTCCTATGCTTTCTTATAGACTTTATGTTGTTGGCTTTTTAAAATACTGGATTAAACATTTTGTCACACATATGAGTTTTACGATTATTTGAGATAATTTTGATTATCAGTCTTCTATGAAATAGCACTTCCCTTTGAATATGAGTAGGAAGTACAGATATACTGAATGGAAAAGAGAATACCAAATGATTTTTCATTTTTACGAGAATTAGATAATACATAGTTCACAAAAACATGACTTTACGCTAAATTTTGTTAGAACTTCTTGTCAGCGGTCTGAAATTGACTTATTCTTTAATGCAGTAAAGGGTATCTTTGGCGAAACTTATGAGCTTTTTAAGCTTTCTCTCTTTTCACAGTGTACAGATAGTAGTATTTGCTTACGTACAGAAGTGAGAAATATTTTGGATCATCATCACCATGGCATGCCATGGCGTTTGTTCAGAGTCATCTTCATTAGTGTGACCTGGCTTTTGTTGTTTAACAAATTGCTTTTTACAAATAAAGCTGTGCTTGTGGTTTTGTTTGCAGTAGTATGATGATGTGTTGGCTTTCTTGGTTTGTACTTCCAGAATGCAACTTTAGAAAGGTGGATTGAGTTTGTTTCAACTCATTCTGCAATTTTTCAGGTTTGCAGCATCTTCTGGAGTGTGTTCAGAGTCCCTAATCAGTTTTCTAAACCTTAAAAATGAAAGGGAATGGCAGCATTGAGGATGAAAAGCATTCATTTACCTCAGGAAAAAGTTACTTCATTTAGCAAAATTGGTGCTGTTTCTTTTTGACTGTTCTTGGATAAAAACAATGGAAAGTGTAAAAATTCAGAGAAAATGTCTTGGTAATGCCATTTGTTGGAAATCAGAATAATTTGATCCATTTACTGTTTCACATTTTCTTTTAAAGCGACATTGCATAACTGTAAGGCAAAAGACGGAGTGTGATAAATGGAGGAATAACTGTTCCCCCTCGACATAGTCGGGTTTTTCCCTGCAGTGGTGCTCCGCAGGCCTCGTTCCAAACTTTGGCCTCTCTTCCTTTCTTCTTGCCTGTGTCTGCCTTGAACCCCTCGTCTGGTCTGGCCCTAAAATTGCCTCCTGGCTGTGGAGCTGTGCTGTGACCGTGAAATACGTGGAGGAGATTGAACTGTGTGATGAGTGCCTTGTTGTGTTATGTCTCTTGCCTTTCCTTTTGTTCGCGTCTCCAGGTGTTTTGTAAGGGGCCTTCTGCCTTAATCCAAGCTGATTTTAATGGTAGAAATTCCAGATGCCACGGCAGGTGGTTTTGAGGGATAAACTCCTGGGAGGAGTTTTGGGGAATTTCTCAAAAACTCTAGGTAGGGAACTCCAGTGCTGTGTGTCATATTGCTTTTGGATGCAGCGAATGCAAAAAAGGAGTTGTCTTTCTCTGTATTGTCAGCTTATATACTATTCTGTAGACACAGTGCGTGTAGGGAAGTTCTGAAAACATATCTAAGATCGTATAAGCAAGAAGATGGTAGCTAAGTAAAATATTAAGTAAACAAGGATTTAAGCCAGCAGGGTTTCTAGTTGAGTGAAATTGGCAATACTACTTAAAAAGAAAACAAAAATATGCTACATCAGTGAAGTGTTGTGTTTGGATCTTGAAATGGAGTATTAAATAATGCCATTTCTTTGTGGTGTGTCAAGAAGAGCTCATTGTGAATTTATTTTACTGACGTTTGTTACTGTTGGTCGAGTTATTCCATGTATCTGGTTTTCCATTTGAGTATAATAAAACCTCATTAATTCAGTGTCATTAATTGAAACCTACTGTGATTAAACATCAGTGCTTGGTGCTGAAGTTTACATCAGCACTGGATGTGGAGAAAGGGCTCTGCTAATCTAAGTTTTAGTACTATAAACAGCACCATTTGAGCATATATAGTGTGCTTAAGAGAACAAATTCTTTTCAGGACTTCGTGAACGACATGCAAATTAATGCTGTTACTTACAAATTAGATTGATCTGTTCATTAATATTTCCTTTCAGGATTTCTACTGTAAGATATAACACAAGAGCATTGTTTTCAGAACGTTCTGTAAACTTAAGGCTTAAAGCAACAATTGAGACTGGGATTCAGAGAAATTCCAGTGATTCCAAAATGCCATTAATTAGAAGAATTAACATTTACAAAATAGTAGTTTTTGAGGAACTGTGGGGAAGAACCTCTACTTTAAACGAGTAATTCGTTGTAAGACGTCTGGTTAAAATGTGAAAAAAGTAACACCTTAGAATCTAGTTAAAAGTTTACTCCAAGATTTGTTTATATTAGTTTAAAAATATGCCTTTTTAAAATATGTTTCTTTATGACCTGTCTTTATTGTAATTTTAGAGATATGAAATATGACTTTGATAAACTGTACATTTGTAACTTTCATAATTGGTCTCTTGTGCTTTTCCTTATATTTTTTGTGTCAGCTATGTGTAAAGTTGAAACTAATTATGAAACCAAA